ATTTCCCACTCTAGATTTTTGCTACTTTGTCAATCCTAGAGAACCTCTCTTATCCCCTTCTCACTGTTTCTTTTGAGCCACATCACAAGCCCCTAACATACTGTCAGCACATCTCACTACCATCGTACTACCATAGTTCTCTCCATTCCAGACGATATTGTTTCTCCGTTTCCATATACTCCATAAAATTGCAATAAACCGGTCACATCGAACTCTATCATTCCCCTCTTAATTTGCTTTTATCCATGCCTCAAAATTGTCCGCCGGATTATGCTGCCCCACCCTGTCACTTGCCACACATCCCTAACTGCTGAGCATTCTTTAAAAATATGCCCTACCAACCCCCTCGTCACAGGACCTACAACTCAAAGATGCATTAACCCCCCTTCTGTTGAGATTAACGGATGTAGGGAGTGATCCATCCATCAATTGCAAAAAGAAAATTTTCAGCTTTGGAGGAATTTTACATGACCACATCGCGATCCACCTCATCCAATCTGCATTCACCACCGTCCCTGTTAACAATTTATAACAGCTTTTCATCAAAAAAAATCCTATTCTTTTCCGTCATCCAAGCAACATTATCAGCCCTGTGCAAGGTATTGGCCCTATGGGCCTTGGCTTCCTTCTTCATTCTGATATTGTGACTTGGGCCTGTTTGATACTTGGTATCTACCCAACCCACTTATTCGTTCTTGGGGTTCTCCGTTGTGTTCGGCCTGACCTACTTACCTTGTTGGGCTTGTCTGACCCGCCTACTTAAAGCCATGTGATCACTTCGTCCTGTTTCAGCCGCCTCAGTTGTAACCCTAGTTCTAGAGTCCTCCTTGTAGAGAGAGAGAGAGTTTGGCTTCTCTCTAGCCATTCTTCTTCTTCCATCCCTCTCTTCACTTCGAAAGTGTGTGTGTGTGTGTGCTCTGTGGGTTCTAGGGAGAGGCTTGAGAGGGTAGCTGGGTTGGGTTTGGGTTCAGGTACCTTGGTGGTGGTTCCCTATCCTGGTAGGTCTGTGTGGTGGTTGTGAGTTGTTTTAGAACCCTTGGGTTCGAGTGGCTGAAGACCTGAGCTGGAAGATCTATCATCATATCCTTACAAGCCCTATCATAACGGCTAATCGAAATACTCAAAATTCTCTCGCTCTCCTCCGGTGAGAAAATAGACCTCACTTTGTTGACATTCCAGGCTCCTCAAGTTTCATCTCTTAGGGTTCCTCCAGGTACCTTCCCCAGGAAGTCACCTGTCCGCCCAGATCTGAGTATCTTTACCATTCTCCCACTCTTTTACGAGTATGCATCTTCCAAATAGCCTGTGTCTCCATAATACTTCACCATATCTACGTACAAAGGGTTATTCCCCATATCATTTGAGCATTCAAAAAGGAAGCATTAGGATAATATTTTGCTTTAAAAACTCTACCCACAAGACTCCGCTCATTCACCACAAGCCGCCATGCCTGTTTAGCTAACATGGCTAAATTAAAATCCCTGACTCGTCTGAACCCCAAACGTCATTCACAGCGTGGATGAGACATCCTTTCCCAACTCCTCCTTCTAGTCCATCTCTGGTAAACTTTTATCCTACTCCACCAGTACCCATTCATGAGCCGTTCAATTTCTTCACACAACTGATCAGGAAGCATAAAAACATTCATAGCATAACTAGGCATAGCCTGTATGAAGTTCTTCAACAAAACTGCCATGTCAACCCTAGATACAAATTTATTATTCCAACTTGGAAGAACTACCAAATAAGTCCTTGAACTTTCATTTTCCAGCTTGGTAGACCCAAATAGCGAGACTGATTACACCCCCCCTCACCGCCATAGTCTGGAAAAAATAATCATTTACCGGATCCTCCACATTTGGGCTAAAGGAAATGCTAGACTTATTAAAGTTAACTGTCTGACCAGAAATTAATTCATACCTGTTCAAGATACCTTTAATAGCATCACATTCTCCCTGTGTAGCCTTAAAGAACAAAAGACTATCATCAACAAATTACAAATGGGACACCCGAGGAACCCCCTACAAACACCAACCCCATGGATGTCCCCCCTACTTTAACATGTCAAAAGAGACACACACCCCCTCCGTTACTAAGTTAAATAAATACTGGGATAAATATTCACCCTGTCGTAGCCTACTGAAAGGAGTAATAAGACCAATACAACCATGTCTTTAGCCCGTTGTCGTAAAAAATGTTTTCTTTCTCCAATAAATCAACAAGAGTTGATCGAACATGCAAAAATTCCATACACCATCAATATTTTGTTTAACTTCAACAAATAAAGTCATATGATCACTTACTAGAGCTTCCACTGATTTTGCCGCCCCTGCGTTGAAAATGTCGTCCCACCATTCATCATTGACCAAAACACGGTCAAGTTTTTCCTCAACCCAAAGCCATGTCCATCATCCACGATCCCACATCCACTAGTATCCATCAAAAGGAAAATTCTGAGCCCGCTTTTGTAAACTGTCTCACGAAAGCCTCACATCCTCCATGCCAGGTGTGGAACCCGTCCTCATTTTTCAGATGCATACAAGATATCATTGAAATCACCCACCACCAACAAAGGCAAGTCCGATCTATTTGTGAACTGCCATAGTAGCGCCCACGCCTCCTTTCACCGACTCATTTCAGGGTAACCGTAGTAGCCAGTAAGACGCTATATACGGTTCTCCTTATTAGCCTTGATTTTGCAATCGACAAAAGCAGCCCGCGTATCCCAAACTTCGACCTCAACATCATCACACCAGGCAAACAACAACCCGCCCCGCGACCTTTCGCTATCCACACCTACCGCTAGGGCTACACATGGACGGGTTGGGTCGGGTTTGCTATATTTTTTGGACCTACACGATTTGTTCGGCTTGGCTATTATTCAACACGCGGTACGCAAAATAAGTTGGTAAACCATGCATGAACGGGTCGGGTATTGAAAAAAAAAGCACTTCGGGTTGCATCCTTATGTGGGAGATTAATGTAACCAATTTAAATCTCGATTAACTTGTTTTCAAAACACAGAAACATATACAAGTACTCATATCTTTTATAAGCAAAAACATTAGATAATAGTATTAAAACATCCTTCCATAAAGGAAGATCGTTTAGAAGGAAACATAAATATATAATAATCACCTAGTCAAAATGGTAAATGTTTAATTATAATTCTAGTATCATAAAGTCCTAGATAGAGCTCATTGGTCTTAAATTGAAATTATCCAAAAAATACATTGTAGCATAATAATAGTAAAATGAACTTCGGCCGGGTCGGGTACTATCGGGTTGGAGATTTTAATTCTGCAACCCTACCCATTAGGTTCGGATTATTCTTGTGCAGCCGTACCTGCCGCCTGCTGGAATCCCATTGCACGTTGCAAATGGCATTAATCAACCCATTGAGACCGTTGGTAATGTGTCACTACCTTGTCTATCTCGCTCTCTCTATTTAAACTCTATTTTTGCATGTTTCCAATATAAAATATAATTTACTTTCTATTCAAATCTCATGTGCCGCTATAATTGTTTACTCTAGTAATTTTTTATAAAAATTATATTTTTGTGAAGAACAAAAGCTCGGGTGAACTTCTCATTCAGACATTCAGTAGTGGCAATGTTTATCCTATCTTCTTCTCTAAATTCAAACATACCGCTCTCAGTACTCATGTTGCACACTTGCACCTAGATCACTCTGGCATCGACGGTTGGGTCATTGTGGAAGTCGCGTTTTAGATAAACATTGGACATCCGACTTTATTTTTAGTACTTCTAAGTTTTCTCATGATTGTATTTCTTGCTATTTAGGCAAATCTCAATGATTACCTTTTCAAAAAGTTTTTCATAAATCTACTGCACCTTTTATTTCATTCTCATGAGTGGCAAACTCATGTTTTTTTAATCTAGTTTTAAAATATTACGTTACTTTTATTGGTGACTTCTTTTGTTTCACTTGGTTAACCCCATGCGCAACAAAAATAAAGTTATGTATCATTTCAAAAAAATTAAACTAATAATGGAGAATTTACTTAATTGTAAAATTAAATTTTTTTAGAATGATGGAGGGGTGAGTTTGATAATTCTGGTATTCGTAACCTACTTCTTCAGAGTGACATTTTATTTCGTAATAGTCATGACAAGACAGACACCAAGGTTGTTAAAATCTCGATTTAAATCGTAAAATCAGACGATTTTACAATTCTACATTAATAAATCGATTCAAATCGCAGGTAAAATCGTAAAATCATAAAATCGTACAAAAATCGTGTAGAATCGTTTAAAATCGTAGCAAAATTGTAATAAGTTTTTTTTAGTGAAAATGGTTCAAATTTATTAAAATTAACTACTACAAATTGATACATAATTACATTAATTATAATATCAATAGTGTATTTAAAAAAGTATTGGACTCTTCTATTATTTAATTATTTTTATGTTTAATGTTATTATTCACTACATTCACATTATTAAAATAGTTTATAAGTCTTGTTTTGGACCTTGCAGCCTTGTAGATTTAGTTTTATGTAATGAAATGATATGTTTGCAATTCGATTTTAAGATTCAATTTTCAAAAACATCTAATGATTCGATTCAAAAATATGATTTTAACAACGGACATGCTCATAGAAAATGATGTCTCTGTTAGTGGATTTAAACCCCTCCTCTATTCCAAAAGAATTCCTGTGAGTGGTTGATTTCCATCCCACATCCTTTCATCAATTAAGAGTCATGTACTATTCCAAAACTTCTTACTTAGTAACTATGCACATGACCTAACCAAATGACCCAATTAACAATAACTCTAACCCTAATTGAAGTCTACCTAGTCACTGACTTCAACCCGTACGTCCATCCATAATTTAACAAGTTTCCCCCAACCGAAATGACAGTATCTGACCAAAACCAAATAAGACGGCACTTACATCTATCACTAGTCCAAATTTTGACAATTATCGGAATGACATCTTGGAATGAGGTAGAGTAGTTGTGGCGTATGTACTAACCTGCAAGACAAGAAATCACATCCGGAAATTCTGTCAACAAAGATCCTGCAACTAGGGCACCGCTTCCAGTCCTTCCCCCGCGCAAACTTGATCAACTCCAGATCCTCCCCTTGCCTATCAGTCTCGTTCAAGCTCTGAAAGTCCTGGCAAGATATGTCAGAATGCCACGGAACCCTACACCTGGCGCAAAAGAGTCTCCTGCACTCCGGACACTCCGACTCTTGGATCTCCGCTTTCTCATCATCCAGCAAGAGGGCAGAGCAATCCCTGAAAGGGCAGTAGAACTTGTCTGACGCCTCAATCACCGCCTCGCACAGCGCATCTCCCCACCGATCAAATACCGGCTTGGCCAAAAGCGGGCGGCATCGGAGAGGGTCCAGACAGCCCTGGCATCCAGGAACAGGGCACCGGATGTGCGACATATTGTCTTGCAGCTTCGCATCGACGTACATGCACACGCAATCGGAGCAGTAGGAATGGGCGCAGCCCTGGAGTTTTAGCTGCTGCCGGGTTCTACTCTTCTCGTCGTAACAAATTCCACAGGTGAATAGGTCGTCGTCCTGGTTTGACGAGTGAGCCATGAGGGCTGGCCGGACAATGTGATTGATCGATGTATACCACTTAATTAGGTCTTTCGATTCCAACTCCCAATATATAATATAATGCTTGCTCGGAATCAAAGTTATTTATCTAGTAGTAACTCGTATAATGAGTGATGAGTTTATTGCCGGCCGGCCCTTGGTTTTCCATATGGCGGCGGTTCACATGTCCTTTCCTCTCATATGGAGTATCTTTTTTAAGAAATTAGCCATAATAGGACTTAAACATGCTAAAAAACTCATATTAGGACTTACCAAGTTTTCTCTCGTTGATAGGACTTATACGGTCCTATCTTACGTTTTACTACTTTAGGAAATATCCTAAATACCCCTGTTCGAAGTTGGCTGAGATCGTTTACAGGCACCTAAAATTTACCGGCCTTTTTCGGTTATCCAGTTTGAAGCGGTTAAGAGTTTCCGTTTTCTTGTTAGTTTCCTTATCCGAGTAGTTTCCTTGTTCGTCAATTCTGCATCTTTTTCATGCATTCGTCCATTCTGAGTACGAGTTCATAGCTGCCTGTGTTTCGTTCTTTTCAGGGTATGTTCACTTCAAATTTAAAGCTTTCATAATACTGGCCGTGATTCTGTTTCCGTTCGTCAATTGAGCATTCTTTTTCTGCATTCGTCAATCCTTCTGTGATTCGCTTTTTTCTGCATTCTTTTTCCTGCATTCCTCAATCCTTCTGTTTTTTCCTTCCAGCTCTGTTTTTTTCTTCAATTTCATATTATCGATCCTTTCATCATATGATCGCTTTCAAATTCGTTATAATCAACAATTTATTTCGTATGTCGTTGTACTCTGTTTTATTTCATTAAATTTCATCCGCTAGTTTAGATATCAGTTTGTTTCTACAATTTATTTTGTTTTTGTTAAATTCTCTATTCGTCTACCTAAATTTTGCCCTTCGAACTGTCATTTTGTTTGTTCGAACTGTCATGTATATGCATTTTTTGATTACTCCTTTTTATGTTCTGTAATTGTATATAATTGGTACACATTCTTATAAACTGTCATATTGTTAACACAACTGTCATAATTTTGTCCAAACTGTCATTTAGTTTGTGCTACGTTCCTACCTGTATATGCATTTTTTGATTTCGCCTTTTTATGTTCTGTCATTCAATGGTACACATCCTTATAAACTGTCATATTGTTAACAAAACTGTCATTATTTTGTCCGAAGTGTCTTTTTTCATACTGAAATATTTCTTTTGCTGCATTTTTTTAGGAACCTTTTTACCACAATGGATCCTATTTTACTTGTTATGGTCAAGGTTGACGGTTTTTGGGATTCTAACAATGTGTTCAACAATGTCCACACATGTGGCCTTCATGTTAACTATAATGTTCAATATGCTTCTTTTATTAACTCTTTGAGTGACATCCTTTCTCAGTACAAAGCTAATCATAATTTCAGGCTTTCTTATATGCGAGATGGATTTCCTCCTCCTGTTACTATAAATGATCAATCTACCTTAACATTTTATCTTTATATCAAGTCTCTTCAACCAGATTTTTCATTGTATCCACTTTGTGTTGAGTTTTATCCTGTTTCATCTTCTCCTGCATTTTCTATTGATGTTGGACCATCTGCTTCTCCTTGGTCTGAAAATGTTGTCATTTCTTCACAACAACATACCCCTTATGATGAGAATCTTGTTGTTTCTTCTTCCCATGCTTCACAACAACATACCACTTATGAGAATGTTGTTGTTTCTTCTGCCCAACAACATTCCTCCTCACCTACACTTTCTTTTGATGATGGCCCACCATTTGGTCAATATGAAAATGTTATGCTATCTGGGGTAAGTTGTGGCAAATCCGAAGATATTGTTTCTTGTGGTAACACTGTGTCTGCAACTGTAGAAAATGAATCATCTGAAGACAGTGATGACATGTCAGATGATATGTCAGATGGCCTTTTAACTAAATCATCTGACTCATTCTCATTTCTCCAAAATTTTGAAATCATCACACAGTCCCATCCTACTTGTCTTCTTCTCCATGCTATTTACAAAAATAAAAAAGAACTTATCCACCATCTGAAGATGTATGCTATCACAAACCACTTCCAATACAGAACTAAGACATCCAAGAAAATATGTTTGCATGTTATTTGCTTAGATCCAAAATGTTGTTGGAGTGTTCGAGCTGTAAAACTACATGGCGTAACAATGTTTCAAATCAGAAGGTAACTTCAATTTTCCTTCTTTAATTCACTTCATTGTAAATTCTGGTTTATAAGAATGTCATGTTGTGTTGCCATTCTTATACAGGACTGTCAACTTCATATTATGTATTTGTATACTAATGTCATTTTTCTTTTCAGATTCCGGCCAGTTCACACATGCTCTATTGATTACAGACAAGGCAAACATAGACAGGCATCTGCTAGTGTGATAGCAAATATTATTGCACACAAATACCTTGATGCTTCCAATAAACCATACCCCCCAAAGCAAATTCGTGAGGACATGAGTATGCAGTATGGAATTTCCATGTCTTACAACAAAGCTTGGAAAGCACAGAAGAAAGCAATGCAGCTGCAATTTGGTTCTGATCTTGAATCCTATCAGCTTTTGCCTTCAATGGCTTATGTGCTTGAGAAAACAAATCCTGGCTCTATGTTTAATCTAGTCACAGGGAAGGATGATGCATTTTCTACCTTTTTTATGTCATTCAAACCATGGATAGAAGCTTGGCCCTACTGCAGACCTGTTCTTATATTGGATGGTTCTTTCATGAAGGCTTACTATAAAGGCACTCTCCTTACAGTTTGTTGCCAAGATGCCAATGATCACATAGTTCCTATTGCATTTGGTATTTGTGGTTCTGAAACTAAAGCTTCTTGGAAATGGTTCTTATCCAAAGTTTGTCAATCAATAAAGTACAGACATGACCTGTACGTAGTATCTGATAGGCATAAAGGGCTTATCAAGGCCGTTTCTGAACTCTTGCCACATGCTAGCCACGGTTTTTGTGTTGCTCATCTTGGTCGTAACATAACATCAAAATTCAGATGATCTGCAGCTGGTTTGGGATGGAAGTTCAAAGCTGCCTATATGGCAGCAACTATGAAAGAATATGATGACTACTTATCCATGTTGGATTCTGAAGACCCCAGGATAAGGACTTGGCTAGACAAATTAGGTGCTAACACATGGTCAAAAGTAATGTCTGGCCCAAAGAGATATAATATTATGACATCAAATTGTGCTGAGTCTATGAACAAAGTCAATGTCTGTGCTAGAGAGTATTCTGTGTCTAAACTTGTTGATTTCTTGCGTGAAAGGATGCAGCAATGGTTCACAGAGAGGAAAGATAAAGCTGAGAAAACAAGTATTATACTCACAAAGAAATGTGAGAAACGCCTGGTAGCTTTGCAAGCTGAATCCACACGTATGAAGGTATGTCAAAGCTTATTTTTTGACTTTGAATACCATTAGCCCGTTTTCATTTTTTTCATCTCCTTTTATAATTCCACTTTGTTTGTTAATATGTCATTTTGTCTTTATAATTTTGTCATTTTTTGTACTTCATATTCAAATAGTCTTATTAGCGTTTTTATTTATCATTTCTCTTCTACTTAATATTCATATATAAGTTGACATTTTACATACTTCATAACCACATATTACTGCTATATTCTTTTGCTAATTCTCTTTTTTATCTACTTTCATATTCTTATTTTTTTTTATTTCACAGGTTAAACCATCATGTGCATATGAATTTGAAGTTGTTGACAGTAGATGCAAGTCCTTTGTGGTAAACCTCAACTCTAGAAGTTGTACATGCGGCCACTTTCGATTAGATCAATTTGTGTGTGTTCATGCTGTGGCTGCAATCGGTATACGCCCACACCTTTCATGTTATACGTACATATCTCCATATTACACAACAGATGCTTGGCTTGCTACATGGTCTGGTATCATGCATCCTATTGCTGATCCTGACAGTTGGTCAATTCCTGCTACTATTCAAAACCAGAGATGCAAGCCACCAAGTTGTTTGAAGCGTCCTCCTGGTCGCCCTAAGAAATGCAGGATTCCATCCATTGGAGAATATAGAGGTTCAAAACGTCAAAAATGTTCTAGATGCCATGTGCTTGGGCATAATAAGAAAACTTGTAGAAATCCAATTCCAATTAATATCCAGTGATGTAGATTTGTCCACTCATTTTATGTTGTCTTCTGTTTTTTTGTACTTTTAACAATTCTACTATGTGGTTTGGACTTGGTTATCATTTCGTTGAACGTTTAAGGTTTTGTGCTTTAGCCATTCTTGGCATTTAAGTGTTTATGACTTGTGCTTTATCCAAATGTTTTATCCCAAATGTCATCTCACTAATGTAATGTCATTTTGTTTATGTATAAATGACATATGTGACATTTTATGGCATTTTGTATTCCACAAAATGTCATGTTACTTGTCAATTTGTTGTCATTTATTTACTACATGTAAATGACATTCAATCCTAGTATCCATCTACATGTTACTATAAAAAATGCTCTAGATAAACTTGCCAAGGGGACGTACGTCCCTTTAACAGATAGATTTTTTGAACGTAATTTAATAAAATGCATTGTCACAATGCATTGTCATAAAACATATTTCATACGCTTTAGCCATTCTTGTCATTTAAGTGTTTATGACTTGTGCTTTATCCAAATGTTTTATCCCAAATGTCATCTCACTAATGTAATGTCATTTTGTTTATGTATAAATGACATATGTGACATTTTATGGCATTTTGTATTCCACAAAATGTCATGTTACTTGTCAATTTGTTGTCATTTATTTACTACATGTAAATGACATTCAATCCTAGTATCCATCTACATGTTACTATAAAAAATGCTCTAGATAAACTGGGCAAGGGGACGTACGTCCCTCTAACAGATAAATTTCAAAGTTGATGTCATTTTGTTTTCTAAAAACTGTCATCCAAATGTCATTTATCACGGATTTTCTTCATGTAAAAATCCGTGCTTACATAAATATAAGTACCCTGTGTAATGCATTAACACAAAGTCATCTTTAATGTAAAAATCAAACAGATTTTTTGAACATAATTCAATAAAATGCATTGTCACAATGCATTGTCATAAAGCATATTTCATACATTCAAAACACAATGAAAGTTGCTTTAACCAAGTTTTTCAAAACGAATGTACTAGATGTCTAGATGTCCTGACATGATATTAAAAGTACTAGTAAATATAACAGTCTTCCAAAACAAACATAATTGTTTCATCCTACAATCCCATTTCTTTATAGCTTCATTTCATTCTCTCTCACCCTGCCTCCTCTTGCTATATAGGACCAGTTCAGTTGCCATTTTTTCCCTAAACAAAGGTATTGCTTCAGGATATATGCCATCCATGTCCATCCCCACCATTAGAAATTCAGCCATCTTGAGCATGAACATTCCACAATTTCCCCTGATGCATAACACCAAAAATTAAAAGAAATATTTTTTAAAATAAAAAAGTACACTATTATACAATCTGATTAAGCAAATTTATATCCTCTTACCCATCATCTTGCTGTGGACATCCTTCTACAGGCTCAACTTCCAAAAACCTTTCACCCATAGGATCCTCACCCATCTGTTCGTACACTTTGTGATAGTCCATTATTTTGGGCAGGAGGACTGTTATGCATGCAACATATGACCTGATATCCCTTAGTGAATCACCTCTTCTAGCATTGGAGTTGTACACTCTTACCTTTCTTTGCTTGATATCTAGTACTACCAAAACCCAATGGTTGCCAGTATTCAGAGGGAAGTACACGAAGTCTGCTTTGCTCCAGTGTAGGCTATAGTTGTTCGCACCTATTATGTCACGAAAAATATTTTCTTCTTGTGCTGACTTGTGGTATGTATAGTGCCCCTTTGATATAGTGTCAAGCTCCCGCTTCAGTATTTGCAAGAAAAAAGGCCCAGTTGTGGTGTAGTTTTGTGGCAGTTTGTAATGCACCCGTTTCATGCCCAAATAGTACATTACTACCTCAACATGCTGTAAAAAATAAAACACACATTTAACAATTACAAACTAATTCAACTGACTTTGAATGGCATTCTATACAAACAAACATACATATAAATGTACACTTGGGAGTTAGACTGACAAAACTATAACATTTTTGAATTTACCTTGTCAGTGATCCATTCATGATTCGTAAACATGTCATATAACCATGTTTTTTATTCAACTTTCATAGTGTCTAGCAAGAACGGTTTGTGAACCATTTTTTCTTCTTCCACTTTGTACCTTCTGCCATTTTTGTTTTTTTGAAAATTCTTCAACAATCCAACTTGGAGGTATGCTCTCACCCTCTCTATTTCATGATCTGGTGGGCTCTCTGTTGGATCTTCTGTGAAAGGTCCAACTATTTCCTTCAGTGGAGGCAAAAATTCATTGTCAGCTCTTTTCTTACCCTTTTCTCTCTTCCTCCTCTTTGGCGAATGCTCAGATGGAGTGTACTTCACTGGTGACCTAGCAAAACGCTTTTGTTTGGGAAGATCCTCTTGTTCCTGTGGCATTTCCATAATATATATTATTTATTATACTTTTTTATATTTATTGAAAATGTATAAATACACTCAATGTCATACTAAAAAATAATCATAAAAATATAAGCATTATAATCAATTTGTAAAATATTTTGTCATTCAAGTCAAGACAATATTACATAAAATGTTTTGAGATTCATAAAAATCATATATACAATGGTGATATGTACTACAGAAGTCACCAATTTGTCAGTTTCATAACTTCACATAAACTGTATATCACATAACTTTACTAATTTGTCATTAATACTTCGAATGTCACTTTTATGTCAGTTTCATACCTTCCAAATGCTACTTGAATGTCATTTTATTTTTTTTAGTTACCTGATTAGGCTTCACTATGATTGCTGTACATGGATTGGAAGAATAGCTCTCAAAAGCCTTTTCGCCACTTCATCTGCAGTTTTGCAAATCTCTTTGACAAATTGACTATTGTCCTGTGACCCATCCCCCAACAAGATTCAACAGTTTTGTCCATCTCTTGAGACTGACTCAATATGTTAAACGTAGGCATGTCACAAACTACATCTTCATTGTGCTCGGTCTCTACAACATCTTTATCTAGAACAACATCCTCATTTTTTGCACCACCATCCCCAATATGTAAAATATCATCCTCAGTCTGTGCAGCAATGTACTCAGTCTCCTCTTGCACATGAATGTCAGCAGTATCATCATCCTTTAGCCTAGGTTCCTCATCATTCTCGTAATCTTGCCCAGTCATGTCATCATCTTCTTTTTTATTAACATTTTCTTCTTTTTCTGGACTTTCATTCTTTTCAACTTTCTTTGTTCTTTCTCTTGTGTCCTCATCTTCACCTTTATCACTGCCTTGTGACATCTGTTTGACAATAAGTAGAACTTCTTTTAAAAGATCTTCCTGCTTTTTTTGAGTTTGCTTAATGTTTTTCATTTCTGCCATTAGTCTGGCAGTCTCCTTAGCTTGTTTCCTCATGCTTTTTTGCATACTGTTACTATGTTTGCTCATGAACATAATATATTTCTCTGCTTTTCTTCCACTATCACTTGAATCATCTTCTTCATCCTCACTCTCAGTGCCTTCATCACTCTGTGTTTCCTCATCACTTTCAAATTCCATCTCAATCTTCTTTCTTCTTTTAGAAGTTCCCTCGCCAGATTTACCTTTTCCCTTCATTACTTTTCTTGTTTTCCTTTTCATGCTTCTGGTCTGTATTGCCTTTTTTTGCCTTTTTCTGCAATAGCTTTCATCTTTTCAGCATCTAGCCTCCCCACATTTGGAATAACAATGTCCATTCCATGTCCACCTCTGTCATTGTTTCCTCCAATCATGGCAATCTCTTCTTCTGTTGGTACGATCTGTGTCCACTCAAACTAAACAAGTACACTTTGTTAGTAAAAAAATTGTAATATTATAATCTAGATATATTTAGACTATTAAAACTAATACCTTGTCATTCTTGAATATTATTTGGGAAAGCACCTCCAGTGTAGGTTTTTTCTTGAATTCCCACTTCAGTGTCCTTGGTAAGATGTTTTCTCTGCCCTTTATTAGCTTGCACAAACCACCTTTTGCAAGTCCTGGGAATGTCTCAAATGCCCACCATTGTAAAGCCACCATGTACCCAGGGAATGTAACTCTGTCCCCTTTGCCTTTATCTAATGCCTCACAACTTTGTTTTATTTTGTCAACCAACTCGTTCCAAACATCATCACCCCATGGGTAAGCATTGAATGCATCCAAATCGTTTACCAGGTTTATGTAGTATGCTTTCATAGGCCTGGCAGTTTGATTCCCAAACAAACAATGGGACAATATGTGTAGTAGAGCCAGCTTCACTCCATCCTTTGTCATTCTTCCTTCATCAGTGCTCTCATAACTCTTCAATGCATTTTGGATATCTGCACGGGACACTGTAGCCTTGTTCCCAAAATATCTTCTCCATATATCTCCCTCAGGCTCCTCTGAAATATTTGGCTTCAGACTCCCAAATTTTAAACCACACATTGTTGCCATATCAGCCTTTTGAAAACTGATTACACTGTTTTGAATATGAAATCTGATGACACTGTCATCTGCATTTCCATTAACTTCAGTGACATAGTTTCCAACAAATCCTAACAGTAGTTGTCCACTATTCCAAGACATATCTTCAATTTTTAACATCCAACCAAATATGGTGTGACTGAAATCTGTCAGTTCCTCAGTGCTAAGACATGTCCTTATTCTTTTAAGAACTTCAGCAACATTGCAGTAAGAATTGACACGCAAGTTTTCCAAGTCCACTAACACTGACTTCTTGAAAGCTCTTGTTATTGTCTGTCAAGTTCACACAAATATAGGCATTATAATCAATTTGTAAAATATTTTGTCATTCAAGTCAAGATATTCATAAATAACATGGTAATATTAACTACTTAAGTCATTAGTTTTCCAGTTTCATACTTTCCCATAAATTGTGATAATTCTTGCAATTTCACTTTTCATTCAGAATGCCACCATATTCTTCTCTATTTTGCATTATGTTGTTTTATAACAACATCACAAACTACCAATGATCTGCTAAATTCTCACTAAAATGTCACTATTTCAAGCAAACTGTCATCACAGT